ACTGCTTAAGCCATTCATGCTTTAAATGCAGTACACATAGATGAACAAGCCTTAGTTTGATCATCAACTTATGATTGTGTTACAGTACTTGTATTTGGCTACATGCTGACTTCATGCAACAAAAATAAGTACTTGATAACTTGCACACCAAATGTAGTTCTACAAGGGAGAACATTCCGAAAATAGGTCAGTGAATCTCACGAACTTCTGCACACCTTTACATGCCACCACTGGCATAAAAACCTATTTCACACACCATGATTCAATGTGCAGCAAATATCTCAACTGAGATCAAGTCAATTTAATTTGTTCCCAATTCCAGCTTCTATATCACTGAATTCAAATTCGACACAAGATTTGGTCACTGCGCCCTCACAAAATCTTCCGCCATTTTCGAGAAACCAAATAACCCTAAGTGACGATCCCGTGTCAACACAGCAGCATTTTCCCAACCTGAGCACCTATCTACTCACACAGTCAGCCGCCGACATGCTGCCATGAAGGGCTGATTCTATGCATCTAGTGTATTCATCAGCAACACAACAATTCGCACAACAGCGACCCAACCTGCAGACCCACTTCAACTGCTTCAGCTTCGATTTGCCCAACACAGTCGTCAGCTGGCTGCCAAAACGCAGGCTGTGATCGTATTCGACGTCGCTAGCCAACGATTTTCGTCTGTTAGCCAATAGGAAAGCTTCACTTTTTCCCACACCGCCTAAACATCAATCGGAAAGGCCACCAAAGAACCATCTGTTGGCTGCTGCGACACCTGCTTCAATCGGAAACAAGAATCAAGTGTTAATATATGGCGATCGATAACCAACTGTATTTGCAATTTTCGCAGCGGAACTACAGCCTCAAGCAAGCTTAGAACAGATCGTCTTGCATAAACGAAACTATTGCGCCGTAATTGAATCCACGTCGAATACCTTTCCACTGACACCGCACCCCGTAGAATTGTTTTGTCCGGGCTTGAAATCGTCACGGCTAGCAATGACAGTTATTTTACGGGAAATTCGCTTCCATGAAAATTGGAAGCAAGGGGATACCGACCGATGGAAACAAGTTCCAGTTTTGTTCCACTGCGAACGCGGAGAAAATTGCAGTTTCAGGAAGTAACCATGCCACCAAAAGTAACGACACCAATTTCAATTTTTCCTTTCGTAACACTGGCCAAAAACATTGCAATCATTGCGAATACCAGTATCTTGTATTCACCGCCTCATCAAAAACTCAGGTTTAAGTCGGAAGCATGCAAAACTATTACAGCTATCAATGGAGCCAAGGAAGGGGCCCAGTAGTCGGTGCCCCTCATCGCTTCAGGCCCGAATTTTTCGTGTTTTACCATGCAGGGTTCCTGTCAGAACAGCAACGCGATGCCTTCTCACCACACCCCTGAAGCGAGTTACTGGGGAAGAGGAAGGTGGCAAATCAAGTACAGCGCTGAGCTACCCCTTATAGCGTACTAAATTAGACAGTGTGGAACTTGCATTCAGTTGAGATGTCCGACCCACCCGCTCACCACCCGCATTGATTGGCAAGTAAGCGAAATCGGGTGAAGCGTTTGTAGCGTATTTTGGGGATATGCCTCGTCATTTAACCCTGCTTAGTCCCCACCCCCTCACGCAGCCCAGTGTGTGAAACAACTCTCCCTAGACTGATCTTAATCGTGATGGTGCACTGGTAAATGTGCCCGGCCGGTCCGTAGCGTGAGGGTCAGCAGCGTACTGCGGCCCCGAGAAATATTTGTAAAGACGCGCGAAGGGCGCAACCGTGTGCATTCAATAGCCATGCTGTAGAGCAATCAGCTGACACTTCAGCACACTTGTCCAATCAAGGCATCCATTTCATTCGGTTGACGCCCTGGCGGTTCACCGCTTGACCACGGCGGGCCTGACACAGCGACGACCTGCTAAGTTACGGGATTCACTGTGAAACACGTTAGGTCGTGCAAGGCGGGTGCGACGATGCGCACGATGTCATTGCGGGAGCATCGTCAGCCGGTAATGCACATCAGTAATCGGCCGGCATAAACTCCCGAATTCATATGGGTCCCGGGCGGCGCGCTACCAAATGCGGGCGGCCGGCTAGCAGCGTGATTGGCCGCATACGACAGCCGGGCATCTCACGCTTGTCATCGCCCGCGAAAGAGTGCAGCCGTGTGCATTGGACAACGACGCTGTCGGGCTATCAGCTGGCGCTGCAGCACGCGATCAGTTTGTATTGGTTAACGCCACGACAGCGCATGGCTGAATGCTGGCGGGCGACCGCAGCGTCGCTTGCAAAGCTGCGGGTTCCACTGTAAATTATGTTTAGTCGTACGTGGCAGGTGCGACCGCACGCAGACGATAACATTGCAGGAGCACTATCGGCTGGGCACGTAAGTTGGTCACCGAGCAACATAGCCGCTTCTGTTCATATGTCCCCCAATGCGTCCGGCCGGCCCATAACGTGGCTGCCAACATACGGGGCCCGATACAGATACCTCTACTTGCACGCGAAGAGGCCGACTGCGTGCATTGCATCGCGCTGCTGTGGAGCTTCTAGCCGTTACTGAAACACACGTTTCCGCTCAAATGGCGGTGTTGAAGTAGTTGTTGCGAAGTAGTTGTGTTTAAGTGGTGATGGTCAAGTGATGGTGGTGGACAGTGGTAGTGGTGGCCAGGTGATTGTGGTTAAGTGGTTGAGTGGACTTAGCAGTGACAACTGACAAAAACTACGCCAAAATACGACAGACGAGTTTATCTCTGACGGTGGCCCAGAGTTGGGGCCGCTGAAGTCCCCTTTACTGGAAAGGAAACCAGAGCCCCGCCTTTCACGCATCACCAAAGAACAAACGCTAGAAAATAACCAAACACGTGATCTTCTGTCTGACGGTTTGCTCAGAAGCCCATCAAAGACGATGAACACGATCCATCGGAAAGCACGAGATGGACTGTGAGATGCTGTGGATACAGTTTTCCATATGTGTTAGGGGAACGAGGCTCACATTTCCACGCCTTACCACGAAACCCGGCGCTGTCTGCTGAAGGCTACGTTGACCCGGACACAAAACCCACAATCCCAATGTGAGACTAACAAAATCTGCCTGCGTATCAACACGAATGGTACGAGCACTAAGATTCAATGAGCGTGCCCTGCTTAAGTGTGCTCTGCACACACATTATCATCAATGAATTGTCGCAGCCGGACGTTGAACTCCCTGGAAGCCACTGGACGCAGCACGTCACGACCAAAAGCCAAAAATCCCCCTAAGCATCAATAACGTATGCAAGCTGGCATCGCAGCGTGCCGTTTAAGTCTCCAGCATGGGATGATGTTACTCGATGATGTTCGCTCTCCCCCCCCCCCCCCTCCGGCCGCGGTCACGCGGAAGGCTGCACGCATGCGCGCACTGCGCTGGTTCGGCTCCGCCAACCGGGCGTCGGGCGGGGCCGCCACGCAGCGGCATCACCTTGGAGGTCAACGACCTTGACATTCACCAAGTACCGCCTCAGACATCACTTCTTTCCGAGATTTTATTCCCGCACACACGAGTCATGTGAGGTCTATACACGTAAATAGATCCACCAAGGCAGTGTGTGAAACACACAGACACCTTTATCTTCATGCGGCTACTTACGGACACACGCGCTGGACGCTCCGCGAGGGACGAACAACCAACCACCAGTCTCTCCACGTGCAAGCCGCTCCAATACCACGCGCGGTACTCAGTCTGCGCTCGCTGGCGAGAACAAAAGAGACAGATTCAGGCTGGATGGGCTGGGGCGTTGGCTGGCGCGGGCGCGGGCGCCGGCGGCGGGTCGACGTGGACAGGGCCCGGCACCACGAGCCGTCGTCGACACCGACACCGGCGCGAGCGCGCGGCCCGGCCGGTGCGGGCGGGCGGACCCGGCGGGGTCCGCTCCGGCCGCCCGCCGGCGGACACTGCGGAGTTGACGGTCCGGTATGGGGCTCTGGGGACTGCGCGACGCGCTCGGGGCTGGGGACTGTGCGACGCGCTCGGGGCTGGAGACTGCGCGAGACGCAGACTGGACGGGGTCGGAGGACTCAGCTTCCGGTCTTAGCACTGTGTCGAGTGGGATCGAAGGCGACGGGTGGAGTCCGTCGCCAGCTAGAAACAGGTAAGTCGCTTCAGGAACAACACCGTTTCCACTCAAATCCGCACCGCACATTCCCGATGACGTGCATTTACGGTAATACAGAGAACATTGTCGGTAATAAAATGAGCAGCTAGCGCTGCAGTTCGTGGATCGGAAGAAGGAAAAGGCTATCAAATAATGGAACAATTTCACTCGCAACTGGAGTACAAAGCTAGAAAAACATAAGCACAGATCTTTCTCGCTTGATTTGATTCATAAAAATCATATCAATGTAGCTGAACCAAGGTTCTTGGTTAAGTACGGCACGTTTGCGGTTCAACCTATTCCGTTGAAAACGAAAACAGAGGCCTGAATGACGTCACTTCGTCCACAACTCAAAGCTGCCAAAAAGACAAGCAGCACGCCACTATTTCCAAATGCCGGCGTTTGCGGCAATGGCAGTGTAAGCCACGGCGTACACTAAGCCTACCGGTTAAAATGGGCAAACACCACACATCGACAGCTAAAGCTTACACCACCAGCCCTAGTCTACCGCAAACGCACCTCGCCGTCTCCCCACGCAGCCAGCAGCCAACTGAGGTTGTACTTTGCTAAGCGACGCACAAACCACCGAGCGGCACGCGCACAGTAAAAGCCAGCGGGCTCCTCCATCGCCCGGGCACACGACTCCAGCCCAGTCGAGGTCGAGGCTGGGCGCGGCTGGCCGCCGCCATCGCCTCCCTCCTGTCCCGCTCCGATCGCACGCGGCCTCGCCTGCCACTCGTGCGCGGCCTGCTCCCGGCCGTCGCCCACTCCGGAGATCTCGCGGGATGCCGGCACCGCGGCGCTGGCAGAGGCCTCGCGTCGCCGGCGCGCCGCGGGCGGCCGGCGGTCGGGGCGCCCTCGAGGGACGTCTCGGCGGGCGCCCGCCGTCGCCGCCGGGCTGGCACGGGGGCGCGCCGCCCACGCCGCCGCGGGCTCCCTCCCATACAGCAGCTACTAGTTTGTACGTCGATGGGAGGTGAGGTCGATGTATTCCTGAAACGAATGCGGGGCTGTGAAGACCGCAGCGGAAACACCACGCCCACAGGGTCGGTTCTAAGCCAGGACCAGCATGGACCCGTGTGGACCCGAATACCGAGCGAGGACCGGTCTGGATGGAGCCGGACATGAGCGCAGTGGCAGACGGGAGCGTAACTTGTGAGGAGTAAGACAGGACAGGTATGGCGCTGCAGTGGTGTTTGAGCATCTCGTAGGTCCATGCAATCACAAACACACACATCGAACAAGGGGCCACTGTTCCAGTTGTTTATGGTTAGGAGCTTACCTACAGCCGCGCCCCCTGTGATCAGACGCAACGCAACTGACCTGGACGCGTGCTGTTTCAAGAAAGACGGAGAACGCACACTGTTGTATCGTTACTGGGACCAAGAGCTCACCCACGTGGGGTTACTTTACACTGGTGTATGGCGTTATCACATGGTGAATAGTTTGTCTCATACCAAAATCCTCTGCCCAGTCCCACACCAGCCAGCATCTCCACATCACTCTCAATCGCCCGCCCGGCCCGGGACCAGCAGCTCCACGTCACCCTCCCTCGCCCGCCCAGCCCAGGGCCAGCAGCTCCACATCACCCTCCCTCGCCCGCCCGGCCCAGGGCCAGCAGCTCCACATCACCCTCAATCGCCCGCCCAGCCCAGGGCCACGGCCGGCCGCCGCGCACACTCACGTCATACGACATGCCGAGCTTGCAGCTCTGGTAGCGGGTGAGCTTGACGCTCTGGCGCACGTCTTCGGTGATGGCGCCGCGCCAGCCCCCCTTGTTGAGCAGCGAGTCGATGGTGCGCGTGTGGTCCCAGCCTGGCGGGCACAAGGCCCAGACAGGCGATACAGAGCGCCGTCGACGACATACGGCGCCGCCCTTGGCTGACACACACACACACGCACGTGCACGCACGCACGCACGCACGCGCACGCGTGCCCAGGGTACGTACGGCCTCGCTCCGCTTACGTGGCCTGGGCTTGAGTGCGGCCACGTTGAGCGGCAGACAGGGCCGGCTTGAAGAGAACGTGGTGAAGCAGTGGGCTCGCATGCCCGTCACGTGTCTCGCAATACAAGAATGCACACTGCAGTACGGGAACAATGCTCTGGGAGCCAGTACTCCGGTAATTTGATTTGCAGTCTGCATGAGCTTCAGTTATGAGCACAAACATGTAAGGTGTTGATGAAATCTGAAGAAAGTTCTTTAAAGGAACCTGGAGGGAAAAGTCAAATTTCATTGTATTCACATTGTTGGTCTGCTTCTGACCACAAGGATGAAAAGCCTGCTCGAGTCTCTTGGGTCTGGTGCCGTGGAATCGACATAAAAGCGACCAACTCATCAACCATTACGCAGCGACCGCTGTTGATCACACGCGGTGGTCGCTATCCAGCCACTGCCTGTCACTGCTTCAGGCAGCCACCCGCACCAGACAACGCCAGTCCATCCCGCCGCCAGCGCGCCCCCCGGCGCCCCGGCGGGCCGCCACCAGTGCCGGCACCCACCCTGGTCGGGCGCCACCTCAGGCAGGTAGGTGGAGGTGCGCTTGCGGCCGGCGCACGTGAACTCGATGCGGATGCCGTGCTTGCCGAGCTCCCAGTCGCGGTAGTCGCGGCCCGACTCGAAGCTGGTCAGCAGCGAGACGTTCAGGTGCAGACGCGGCAGCTCGTCGCGCGTGATCGGCTGGAAACGGCGGTCCTTGAAGGCGCTGCCGGACGGCGCGGGCGCAGGTGTCAGCGGCGCCGGCCGTCGGACGCGGCCGGAGTCGGCTCCCCCCAGGCGGGCCGTCCGCGCAGCGCCGCAAATGATGTGCATGTACGCAAGCATGGTAGCAAGGACCAAAGTCGTGTTTGAACTGACCACTTGGTCTGATATGGTGCATTACAGGCTGGAAACATTATGAGCTGCAGCATTCCCACATCCAGAAAGAAAGGGGACAGCATAGTGTTGCCTCCCCAAGCATCACACAGCATCCAAATTAGACATGAGTATTGTGCAGAAAAAGATAGCCTCCTTCCAAATCAACATTTTCAGAGTCTGCTACTGTGCTGTCCTTGCCTGGTAATGGAGTAATCCTTCAATCCAGTGTGGAGATCTAATGAGTCAAATGTTCCAATACAGCCTCTCAGGCGCCGGTCCCGACCAATCTGCCACGTCACAAACAGCGGGCTGCAACGAGACAAGATCAAGCTAATGATTGCTGGCTGGCATGTTAATGACAGCAGAACAAAAGCAGTAATATCACAAATGACATGCTGGGTTGAATGCCTAATATGCCAGACAACACATGAAAAATCATCACCAAAAGCCTGACATGATCAAATGAGATAATTTTAAGAGTATATTCAACATATATCATCAAAGCATCTATGTAGACAAACCAAAAACTCATAAATTTGACACACAACACATATAGAGCGGGAGTAGATATGTGATCTTACTATGAATCATTGGGGAAGTTTGGGCTGGGTGGTGGCTCCAAATTATGCAATGATGCATAAAGCACATCAAAGCAATATATGCACATCTCTTTGGTGACAACTGATCTAGTATCATGGTAGCCATTGCATGCCATTCCAGAGTTCATTTTTTGCTTCTTTGTACCACAGCAGCTGGTAGACATCATCACAGAAAGACCTGTAACAGAACAATATGGTGTTGGAATCAATGGTCACTTCAAGTCTGTACACAAAAAGAACTTAAAAGGACAGTCAATATTGTTAATGTGAAAAGATGAACATGATTGGGTTGCTGTTTTCAGAAACTATCAAAAACAGATTTGAAAGAACAAGGCAACAGATCAGACTTTTGACCAGAAGTCGCAAATTTTGCCATAACACAACACATATTACACACATTCTCAATACACAACCTCATCATCTGCTATCAAATCATGCTAACCAACACAAGGTTAGTATCTTATGGGATGCCTAACTCACTCTGAAATATAACATTTCAGGGATGTGCCCAATTGAACTCATTGCCCACACAGATATAGGGTTGCAACATGTTATGAGGACTACTGATATTACTGCCACCTACAGCTTCCACCACATCAACACATTTTTTAAAAGTTAGTTGACAATACACCAAAATGTATATAACTAATATATCATAAATTAAATTACAAGGCCATAAGTTTGCAGCATGAACTTTTATTTTTTCCCATCTATTCCATGTTCTCCTGATAAACATATTATTGATGTCTGATATTGATCTGACACCCTCATTCATAGCAGATGTTTCTGCTTTGCCTTTGTTTGGAGAACAAAGAGCAGAATAACTTCATCCTTATTTAATCAATGCATATATGTGTGGACTTTTGTTCAGTCTGGCTACAATTAGTCAAGTTAGCCCATACAATATTATCAATATCAGATAAATAAATGCCATACTCTATATTAGTTACCAAATACTAACCAATCATGACAGCACAAATACATTTCAGGCAAAATTTAACAAATGCAATTTTGGTATTTCAGCTGCATTGCTTGTACATGCTACATTCAAAATGATAAAGTATTGTGCTGGGGCTAAAACATAAATTACAATGAGATAACACATATGCTTATCAAGAAGTTAAAATTGCTCAAAGTAATACTTTCTGGTGCATAATAATGCAAAATACAAGAAGTGGATACTACAGTAACCAAATGTACAACACTTAAGGAAAAACACTTTTCTAGCAGCGAGCACAATAGCTGACCACAGATAGCCATTTAAAGCTTGAAGGTCATCTATTTTTCAGGTCATTAGAACAAAGCAATCTGATTGCCCATCATTGCTCCCCTGAGATACTCATGCCAAGCCCAGCCATACGTAAACAGAACAGACTTCTCAGCAAAATGCTTTAGTTTGGGATCGGCACAGTGACAGTACAAAGCACATGACACGAACCTGACAAAAGATTGCAAAATGGAAATGAAAAGAAAGCTGCCTCTTCTCCAAGGCCTTCAGTCAGCATGAAATCTTGAAGTTATTCCGGACACAAAAGGCTAGGAACGAATGGAAAATAAAATCATCACGAGAGAACTGACTTAAAATTTAACATTACTTCGCTGAAACCCTGCCTATTGAGCCTTCACCTAAATCAACAGCGAACCGCTTCCGTCCCATAATCTCAACAACAAAAGACTTCTACCAGCTGAGGTGCAGCACAGTAGACTTTCGTGCTAGCTGAGATGGGATGTGTTCGCAGCAGCAGATCCGTTGGATGATTTGTGCTTTTCGACAAGCTGATTGGCCAGAAAATAAAAGCATGCGGCCCATCTGAATCAGAGACAATGTATCTTCCGACAAGATAGTGATGAGCATTTTCGATTGAGAATTAAGAAATTTATTTTCCATTTACCTTCTTTACGTACGTGCTATTGCTCTGTTTTGTTGAAACGATAAATTGAATTAGCACCTTGTGACGTAAGGATACATGGCATTATCGCCGAAGAAGACAGAACTGGCGCAAAGTCTCACATGCTCCTCGCCGTTTTGGCTGCTCGTATGAAGTGTAATGTTGTACATTGAACTAAGCGTAGAGGGCTACGTCTAAAAAAGTTGTAACCTGTTTTAATCTGATAACACAATCTAACGTTTTAAGATCATTGATCTGTAGTTAGTTCCTGAAAAGTATCACATATAGAGGGCGTACTTATCGTATTTGATCAACTCCTCAGGCGGCCCCGGTTCCTCTCCGTCGCCGTGCCGGAATACTAATGATTGTGGGTGCCGCGACCAAGACGATTCGTTGTCTAACAACTACAGTGAAAATGCAGAAATTTGTATGTACGTCAATCCAAGAACCGCTGAATTTTATATCCAACAAGAGGTGTGCTCCAGCTGACAAATTCAATGAAGTGGATAACTTAGAACCAGCAACCGGCAAGGTTTTGCTTCAGTTTGCAAGTTCCGCACAGAATGAAGTGAATCGAGCTGTCAAGGCTGCAAAGGAGGCACTGCCAGCATGGAGTGCTGTAAGTCATTTTTTGTTATAAAATAGTCTTGTGCAGTGTCTGTTCTGCAATGTAACATCTATGAAAAGTTAAATATGAAAACACCACTGAATGGCAACAGCGAGATGATGGCTGATGTATGTAGCTTAATTTCAGATGTATTTCAACTATATTTTGCAAGAATGCTGGGCTGTGCACAACCATGCGCACAAATGTTCATGTGGCAAGGAAGTGTATGTTATGTCCATGAACTTATGTGACATGCCATGAGAATCTGGTGTGCTTTGTGGATTTACTTCAATTAGACTAAGATTATGTTTCTGACTTTCCTGCTGTATTCTGATAGACAATGGATTATGACATCTCCTGCAAACATGTTACCATACTCTGGCCATGTAATATCCAGGAACCAGAATGCAGAAAATGCTTGTTATACCAAAAGTGCCCATTGCAGCGGGGGCTTGGCGGCTAAAAACAAAGTCAATCATCTCAAGTTGTGGGCATGGTTACCACTGTCAGCATATAGAGGGCAAAAATTTTATTATTTTGCAGAGGTAATTTCAAGCAGCCACTGGCTGTCAGTATATTTTACAACTAAAATCAGCAAATTCAGTACACTTTAATCTTGCCTGAGTTCTATGCACCTGTTTCAGTGCACTTGTATATTAGAGATGGTTAGTACAATGGACAGTTTGGGCAGGTTGTCCTAGATGATCCTGTTTTTGTGTACTGTTATTTTATTACTTTCAGGGATGTGATATAAACATGTTATGTTCAAGTCCATCCAAGCTGAAAGCAATATTTCCAAAACAAAATAAGGTCGGGGTATACATTGCCACCTCATGTTGAGAAAGAGCATTGTACATCATTTGTTTTTAAGGCAGAATATATTGTAATTGATCATAAAACAGGTCATCTAAGCTCGTATCTTGGAACTTAAATAACTATGATTGCGAACATCTGAGTGCAAACATGCAGCAACAGTGACCCCCCCTCCTCCCGGTACCATTTCTATGCATAGTCGCAACGTTACTGTGTAATCACAACATTACTGTGCATCAAGAACTAAAAATGTATGAGGCCAAGGTAACAAGAATTCAATAAAATGTGTTTCTTGTGTATGCAAGCAGTCTTTCATAATGTTTGTAGATTGGTCAGCATGGTGGGGAAATGTGATGTTTTTGCATATGAATGAAAAGCAAAATGAGAATATGGCTGCTAAACAAAACTTCTTAATATGGTACATATGTATGACATGGAACATGGATGCCAATGGGACACTGGGTTGAGGGGGAGAGGGTGGGTGCTAGGTTAGGTTAGGTTCGGTTCGGTTCGGTTCGGTTCGGTTCGGTTCGGTTCGGTTCGGTTCGGTTCGGTTCGGTTCGGTTCGGTTCGGTTCGGTTCGGTTCGGTTCGGTTCGGTTCGGTTCGGTTCGGTTCGGTTCGGTTCGGTTCGGTTCGGTTCGGTTCGGTTCGGTTCGGTTCGGTTCGGTCGGTTCGGTTCGGTTCGGTTCGGTTCGGTTCGGTTCGGTTCGGTTCGGTTCGGTTCGGTTCGGTTCGGTTCGGTTCGGTTCGGTTCGGTTCGGTTCGGTTCGGTTCGGTTCGGTTCGGTTCGGTTCGGTTCGGTTCGGTTCGGTTCGGTTCGGTTCGGTTCGGTTCGGTTCGGTTCGGTTCGGTTCGGTTCGGTTCGGTTCGGTTCGGTTCGGTTCGGTTCGGTTCGGTTCGGTTCGGTTCGGTTCGGTTCGGTCGGTTCGGTTCGGTTCGGTTCGGTTCGGTTCGGTTCGGTTCGGTTTCGGTCTCGGTTCGGTTCGGTTCGGTTCGGTTCGGTTCGGTTCGGTTCGGTTCGGTTCGGTTCGGTTCGGTTCGGTTCGGTTCGGTTCGGTTCGGTTCGGTTTTCGGTTCGGTTCGGTTAGGTTACATTAGGTTAGGCTAGGTAGGCTAGGCTAGTTTAGTTTTGGGCTATGTTCTGGACTCTTCTGGCCTGTCCGTTTCATAAACGTACCTAGACGCGGTAAGAAAGTTTTTTCATTGCATTATTATTGTTACCTTGGTCCCGTACATTTTTTATGGTTCTTGATAAGCAGAAATATTGTAATTACGCAACGGCAATGCAGAAACGGCGCTGGGGAGTCCAGGCGGTGGGGTGCGTGCGGCGCTCGGGAGCTCGCTATCATAAAGTTGTTCAATAAAATTTGAAGGTAGGAGCATGAATCTACCTGTTTTAAGATTAGTTATGATGTGCTCCACCTTAAGCACGACGAATGGTGTACAATGATTTTTCTAATGTTAGTTTGCAATGTATACCTATACCCAAAATAACAGCCAGACAGGTCAGTGTGCCCCAAAACCCCAATCATTATCATCATCAGGCAAGTATATCATTATAAATTGTGTCTTGAGAGCTTTGCCATTGCTTGTTGTGTACCTGATGAGTTTCCAAGTTTATTCAAAGAAAGAGCAGAGTCTGAAATGAACCCTCAACAAATGGGACACATTTAACATTTCAGCTTTGTATGTGATCTTAATCAGCAAACAATTTGATGCATGGTGCCAGACTCAGCTTGCTCAGTTGTCACATGGAATGTGTAGGTGTTCATTGCCTCTTCTTGCCTTCATGCCATGATGTAATATGGTTATATACTTGGAGGCATTGCCTGCCTGGGCCTGGATGTGTGTTGCTCAGGCAGTTCGAATGACAAGCATCCAGAGGTCCCTGTCGATTATAGGCACACAGCAAACTCACTTTCTCCACCATCTGCATACTCTGTTTCAAAGCATTTGTTTCAGACCTTTGTGGAAAGAGATTTTGGACTCTTACTCGCACACTTTGCATAAATAAGTCGCATACTCTTACTTGTGATAATAACTGCACGTTTGTTAACACAGCATGGCCAGGTGCATTTGGTGTGGCCGGCATGCAGCAGTAATTGTTATTCGCCTGACTCGGCCACCTGAATGCTGAAGTGTGGCTGCGTGATTCAATGATCTATGAAGTCACATTGGCTTCTTCCCTATACGCGACCCAGCACAAACTACACACTGTTTTTCACGGACCGACTGAATGGTCTCCTAGGGTTTGTCGATGCCCTCTCTCCCTCTCTCTTTCCATCGCTGGTACGCATGGTAATGATAACATGCTGTATTTCATTGCCGCACATTCTCGCTCCTTGGTTTCGCCCTCACGTCTACGTCACGTCACGCTGTTCACCACATATGGTGCACGGAGAACAAACAACCAAATTTGTCCACGGTCAAATTCGAATAGGTTCAACAGGTCGATTACATGAGCTATTGTAAAGCAATCGAGTATAGGCTCATGATTACTTACCGTCACCAACAGCCACTCCGGTTTTGAATTTGCGCCATTGTGCGCCATGCGTATTTTCGACAGGGGTCTGCCTTACGTCACGGTGCGGAGGTTGGCGAAACGGCCGAAACCGACGAGCATTACGTCACCATTTTCTCTAGGTGTGAATCAGGAACTAATTCAGTTTTACAACTTTAGCTACATTTTATCTTTGTTTTACAACACTTTTCCGTGTCGAAAATAATAACATGCGCGGAGCATCCACATGACACCGTATTTACAAGCATGGCCGCTAGAATGCGTTATCATCGCATAGTTCTGTTGTTTTTCGCTTGATTCAACACTAAATCAGACTGCATCGGCTGCGAATTTTTCGCCCAAATAGTCCTTTTCATTCCAATGGCATCGTCCGCGCGACTTCATCGCTACCCGATGACTTGTCCTTGCGGGCATGTGTTTGCCGTGCAGGCTGTGACAGCGCCTTGGCTTTGGTTCCAGCTGACTGCCGCCGAGCGCGGAGTTTTCCTGAAGAAGGCTGCCACCATCATCGAGGAGAATCTGGAAGACATCGCGCAGATGGAAGTGAAGGATTGTGGCAAACCCATCTGGGAGGCCAGGATTGATGTGCAATCTGTCGCCGACACATTAAACTACTTCGCTGGTGTTACGCCGGAAGCTATGAAAGGTTCGTTTGTAATGTCCAGCGTATTTTAAGAGTATGCAGAGTTTTACGTGGAATATGGTAACAATGGTTCACGTGAAACGATACAAAATGTAGACGACTGTAACTTTCTGGAGCAGTTTTCC